GCTGGGCTGGTGTGTGGTCCAGGCGCTGTTTTGCCTCCTGCACTTGACATCCACCTGTCCAGGAACAGCAGTAGGGAGGGAACTGCCTGCCCCTGAAGATCACACAGCCCTGGGCAGCAGGAAGAGGCCTGCTTTTCCTCTGTTCTGTCTCCCATGGTGTGAGTAGTTGGTCAAGGTGGCAAGGCCTGTCCAGGGCAGCACAGCAGCAGGGTGACGCCTGTGGACAGTGTCTGCAGGTTGGAGCTGAGTGGAAGGGCAAACCTAGTACTGTCACACTCTGCACTGGGCCTGCCCTCTGCTGCTCAGTGCCTGTGTTCTGGCAGGGCCCAGGGGGTTTTTTTTGTTTTGTTTTGTTTTTTTCTCTTTTGAGACAAGGTCTTCCTGTGTCATTCAGGCTGCCCTTGGGCTTACAGTGATGCTCTTGCCTCAGCCTCCTGAGTCTTGGGTTACAGGACTCACAACTAGCAGGGACATTGCTTTCTAAGTGAGCGTGAGCATGTGTTTTGAAACAACATGTGCAACGGCCAAAATCTTATTCCTAGCCTGAAATGCAAATAATACGTGGTCCAAAAAGGGGCAAGGAATTTTTGAGGAATGTTAGGTCAGTAAAGGCCTGTAATCCCAACCGGAGCAGTTTAGCCACTTAGCAAGACTAAGTCTCAATAATACAGTGTTCAATGTACATAGCTCAGTCTAGAAAACCCTAGGTTCAATCCCTGGTACCACTTTAAAAGAAATGTGGTCTGTGAAAAGAGTGGGTGCCTGCATGCTTGGCAGTCAACACCTCAGTTGACTGAAGTCCCTGTTGGAGGAGGGCATGGGGTGGTGGGGGCAAACCTAAGTTTGTTCCGGCCTTGTGCACATGGAGGCTGGGGACCAAATCGAGTATGTAGGCAGGAAGGGGAGGGGATAAAACAACCACCCGGGTCCCACCGAGATTTGAACTCAGCTGGAGTCCAGAATGCCTACAGCATCACAGCATGGACCAGCCACTGCTGGTCTGTGCAGGAGAGGAAATTCCACCAGATGGGAACCAGGTCTCCAGCAGAGGGTGGCCTCCATCAGTCTTTGGGGTGTGGGCCCAGCGTGCTCCTAGTGCGCCTCTGCTGCCTGTGGTGAGTCCAGACCCAGTCTTTGTGCTGGCTTCCTCCCACATGGGCAGCATTCCAGGACAGTCGGATGTATAGCCAACCATCAGCTGGTGTAGTAATGCAGCCTTATAGGTAAACTGAACCTGTGTTCTCCATTCACAGGGGAAGTCTGAATTCCTGGCATTTTCTCCTGCTGAAAATGAGTCAGGGACTACATGCTACCTGGCCCAGTTTGTATCTGGACAGTGGTAACCCTTCTGTGTAGTGGCAGTGGCAGTTGCATCTTGGGAAGGAACAAAACCAGCATTTTTCCTATCAATTAAAAATGACCCCCCCCCCAATAGGGGCAATTATGAATAAAGAACCCTAGTTCTACTGCCTTCTGCTCTTCCCAGTGGCCAAAGAAGTTATTTCTACACAAAACAGTTCAATGGGTCCACTAGCTAGATGGTGGCATGTTCCTGTTAATCCCAACACTCAGGAGGCTGAGGTAGGGTTGTTGAAAGTTTGAGCCTAGGCTACGTGGAGAGTTTGAACCCAGTCCGAACTAAATAACAAAACCCTGTCTCCAAAAACCAAAATCAGCTGTCAAATTTTGGGATTCCTAGTTGTGGTACACACCTGCAATTCCTACAGTTTGGGAAGGTAAGGCTGGTAGATTGAGTTCAAGCACAACCCAGGCAATTTAGCCCCTGTCTCAAAACATTAAGAAAAGGAAAGTTTAAAAAAAAAAATAATAAGGAAAAAGGGTGGAGGGCATAGCACAGTGTGAAAGTCCTGGATCTATCCCCAGGACCATATTTTTTTTTTCATATTTTTTAAAGAAAAAATTTCTTGGGCTAGGGATGTAGCTCGGAGGCATAGCTCCTGCCTGGCAAGCACAAGGTCCTGAGTTCAATCCCCAGAACTCCAAAAAATCTTGGTGTTTAGTTTCAGGTTCAAAGACACATTTTTATGGCCTGCATTTTCAGTGAGGTCTAGCCTGTTCCTCCATGAACACTAGACAAATCCTGTTTGGAAAACTGTCAAGTTAGTGCAAAATCTTCCCATGGGCCGGGGAGATGGCTCAGTGGAATAAGCGCTTGCCTAGCAAGCTCAAGGGTCTGAGTTCAATCCCCAGTCACACACACACACACACACACACACACACACACACACACACAAAAGACTTTGCTTGCAGCTTGCCCCCTCCTGTGAGCACCTGAGGAAAGGGTGTCTGAAACTTCTGCTAGAACTGGAAGGACCAAATGGGATGCTCACATGGGACTGCTGCTGTCGCTGCCTCCCTGACATCCTTAATTTTTACTTGCCCATGGCTTGCTGCCTGCTGTGTTAGTCCTCGCCCACCGAATGCTGCCAGACCTGCCGTGAGTCTTGAAAGCCAGCGAGGATAACAATGACTGCAGCACTGGGAGGGAGCCCTCTCTGGGGATGCTCTGATCCAGGGCAGGCAGAGCAGCCCAGGAAAGCCATCTCGTTGCTTCCCCTGTCTGCCCTTCCATCCTGCCAGCGCTCCCCTCGGGCCACAGCCTCAGCTCTGTATGTCTGACTTGCAGGAAGGATCAGGTCAGAGGATGATCCAAAGGGCAGTGCATGGGAGATGACCCTGATCAGATTGGACCAGCGTTGCCCGAGCGCTGTGGGCAATGAGGCAGGGCCAGAGCCAGCAGGCAGGAACTCGGGCAGCACTGGCATGGAAATTGCAGTTTCTCCAAAGAGCCTTCATTTTTATCCCAGGTTGCTTGAATTTCATTCCTTGGAGAATGTGACCTTGTGAAGAAATGTATAAATCAAGGAGCCTTTAAATTGGCCAGTTGTGTTGCTCGCCTGTCATCACAGCACTTGGGAGGCTGAGGCAGAAGGATTACCATGAGTTCAAGGCCAGCCTGAACTACACAGCGAGATTCTGTCTCCAAAAAACAAAAGAGGAGGCATAACTTGTATTATTTTAGATTGTGTGTGTGTGTGTGTGTGTGTGTGTGTGTGTGTGTATTTTAGGGAAGGGTCTACAAGGTGTTCAGGGTCTTACTACTACATTAGACTCATAGTGATCTGCCTGTTTACAGCCTCCCAAGAGCTGGGATTACACGTGGTGCCACCGCCACACCACCACACCCAATCTCAATGGTCTCAGCAAGCCCTGGGGGCAGGGCCAGCATGGCAGGCTCAGGGATCAAACCCTCAGCCTCTGCACCTGCTTGCAGGCACTTTAATCCCCTGAGCTATTTGGCCGGCCCTATTTTTCTGCAACTGAAGTTTCAACTAGCCGAAGTCACAGCCATGTGTCAGAGCAGGGAAGAGGGCCATTGGTTGTGCTCATAAACAGAACCACTTGTGAATGAAAGGATCACTATTCTATTTTTAGGGACCATAAAAGGCTTGTGTAATCCCTTTGTGGGAAAAATCATGTCCTTTTGGAGCGCTTGGTAACTCAGATTTGTCTTCCTGAGGCACAGCCATTCGTGTTGACTGAATAATTCATTTTCTTGTTTTAGGTGACACTGCCAGGGTCAACCCCTGGTGGCTAATGTCAGGAGAGGCTGCTGGCTGCAGACCTGTGATCCTGAACCTTGTCCACAGGTCTAAGGGACATTGTCTGAATCTGATAAATCCAGGCAGGCACAAAGTTAACAGAAAACAAAGGGAATGCTCTGAACACTGGCCATGGCCAGGCCAGTATCACATTCCATCAAACTAGACTGGGGCACTGGTGTCAAAGCCTCATTGACTAAAGCTGGGTGGGTATGGTGGGACACACCTATAATCCCAGAACTGGAGAGGCCAAAGCAAGAGGACCACTGGGAGTTCTAGGCCAGCCTAGGCTACTAAATGAGTTCAAGGTCAGCCTAAACTACATAGTGAAAACCTGTCTTTAAAAAAAAAAAAAGTCCTGGGGCTGGTGAGTTGGCTCAGTGGTCCAATGAGATACTGAATGTGATACTGGCCTGAGAACAAGCTCAGCAAAGCACGGGACTGCGGTTCAATCCCCCAGCACCACATGCCAGCCAGCCCCGCCCCCTAGTGGGCTGAGCTGGCCACACACACACACACACACACACACACACAAATAAATAAAAATTTAAAAAGAAAAAACAAAGTATTAAAAAAAAAAAAAAAACAGTAAAAAAAAAAAAGTCCTGTCATGGTTTTGGGGCCAGCCTGGGCTACAAAAGCAAGTTCAAGATCAGCCTGTACTTCATAGACTGTGTCAGAAAAAAACAAAACCAAACACAGACACCCAAAGACCTGCTGACTATAGGTGTCATTGGATTTCTTTTCTTTCTCTCTCTCTCTCCTCCCCCATCAGGCATGAGCCACTCTGGTGTTGCCTGTTCAATGACCATGGGGCATGGAAAGCCTTGGCTCTCTGGCCACTAGCTGTCAGTGACTTCACATACCTGCCCAGGCACTTGTGGCTGTGTGGTTGATTTTTATTCACCCTGTATCCCCACAACTAGCATACACAGGAGCAGCCAACAGAGAAAAGGGGATGCCACATGTGGGATAGGACAAGTACACAAATTTGGGCCTGTCACGTAGGAGTCAGGTCACGTCCCATGCCCAGTCCTGCCCTTCAGTCAGTGAACAGGCTGGTACCTGCGTGCTCTCAGCAGAGGGCAAGCTGGGAAAGGGGGTTGGGCAGACTTGTGGGGTGACAGGTGGTGATGCTCCCAGTGCCTGACAGAACTTTTGCTGCCTTCCTGGCTGGGCGCTTCCACAGGCACTGCGCCTGGGCCTGTGGCCTAATGA